CCAGTGTTGGAGCATTCACCGCTTCTGGAGGCAGGTTGTTCCACTGGTTAATTGTTCTAACTGTCAGGAAGTTTCTCCTTAGTTCTAGGTTGCTTCTCTCCTTGATTAGTTTCCACCCGTTGCTTCTTGTCCTGCCTTCAGGCGCCTTGGAAAATAGCTTGACTCCCTCTTCTTTGTGGCAGCCCCTGAGATATTGGAATACTGCTATCATGTCCCCCCTCGTCCTTCTCTTCATTAAACTAGACATACCCAATTCCAGCAGTCTTTCCTTATATGCTTTGGCCTCCAGTCCCCTAATCATCTTTGTTGCTCTTCTCTGTACTCTTTCTAGAGTCTCAACATCTTTTTTACATCGTGGTGACCAAAACTGGATGCAGTATTCCAAGTGTGGCCTTACCAAGGCATTGTAAAGTGGTATTAATACTTCATGTGATCTTGATTCTATCCCTCTGTTAATGCAACCCAGCACTGTGTTGGCCTTTTTGGCAGCTGCAACACATTGCTGGCTCATATTTAAGTGATTGTCCACTAGGACTCCGAGGTCCCTCTCACAGTTACTACTATTGAGCAAGGTACCCCCTATACTATACCTGTATGTTTGGTTGCACCAGCCTGGTCTAACCTGACAGGCCAGATTATGCTCACAGGCCAAGAATTACAGACAATGCTGCCAGTCCCATATACCTGTAAACGTTGAGCTACTCATACTACTGACAGTTGAAGAAGGAGTTTTTAGTCCATCGTTATCACCCAGTTGGACTTCTCTTTTTATAGACTGCTCTGGAATTAGATAAGGAAGACATTCCCGAGGTTGTGTCAGAGGCAAAGGTGTCCCATCCAGCTGTTTCTTTTTTCCTTCTTCCTCAGCTGAAATGGCAAAACGAGGCATTTCAAGAAACCCAGAACAATGCCGCCGGACAGTTAAGGGTGGGCTGGAGTCACTCTCTGTATGAGAGGATTCGGACACTGAGATATGTTTACGCAGTCTGAAAGAAAACGACAAAACACATTGCCATCACTCAGTTTGCACACAACAGGGTTTTAACCTAAATTCATTAATGGTGGTAATACTGAAATACTGAAATCAGGCAAAGGTAATTAAGTTGGATTAATAAATGAAGAAAGAAAGTAAGGACAAGGAAAAAAATCAGACTGAACTTTAATTTTATTTAACTATTTATTACATTTATATCTTGACTATTTTTTACAGTAGCGGTCCCCAACTTTTGCAGCTTGGCTGCCTGGCCAGGGAAGAGGGGAACTGGGCCGCATGAGTGGTGGGCCGGTATGCACGCACACAGCCCTTGTGTGAGTGGCAAGCCAGCATGCACACACACAGGTCAACTTGTGTGAGTGGTAGCCGGTGTGACTGCCCACCAGTCCACTGCACATAGACATACACAAGCACCCACCGGTCCACCGCACATGTGTACAAGTGTCCGCCAGCCCACCATGCATGTGCATGAGTGCCCGCCAACCCGTCACTCATACAAGTTGAGCTGCATGTGCATGCTCCGGCTAGCCACTCACACATCCCAATTTCAAATAGACCATGATCCATGAGTTGGGGACCCATTTTACAGGAAAGCAGCTTATGAAGGGAAGTTTCCTTAATTAACAGCTCTATAAAATAGTCTATATGGAGAGTGAGTTATTTGTCCAAAGTCACCCAGTGAGCTCTGTGCCTCAGGGGAATCTAGTATTTGGGTCCTTGCTTAAGACACAGATGCTGTTGCAGATGCTCTTGCTTGAGCAGGATATTGAACAAGATGGTCTCTATAAGTCCATAACTGAGAAATTAGAAATTCTAATTCTACGAATTAATCTCATCCCTGTCTCCCTCTTTTTCCATAAAGCCAAATTAAATGTTTTACTAAAATTGCATACTGAATTCTGATTTCACTGGGATTTAAGAAATGTGTAATGCCCTTGACGATGACCAATGGCATACTGGCTCTGGATGGAAAAATGAGTCTAAATGCCTTAAACGCTTTTAAGATTCTTTCTGCAAACAATATAAAGAATTGTAGCTTGAAATATTGTTAAACTACTGATCTTCTGAATTCTATTAAAGGAAGCATGTTCAATATAACAAATAATAGATCGCTGACATTTCACTTTTCTAAATTCTGCTGCACTGTGCCTTAAATGGCTGTATTTGTGCTGTACCAAGGTTGACCAACTATCTTGGACTTAGGATCACATTTGAGGCCACCCGGCTAAGCTGGTGGAATGAAGTCATGCAATGAAACCAACAGATGCTGCACTATGACCCACGTTTTTAGATTTTTGTAAAGATTTTAATGAAGGTGAATTTTAATAGCAGAAGATACTATTTTTGTTTATTGTGATATAAATTATGGGCTGCTTTATAGCATGTGAATTAAAATATATTGCTAAATGCACCTATTCATACATGGCTTTTTTTCTCCCTCCAAAAAGTATCCCTTTCCCAAAAAGATAAGTAGAACAGTTAAAATATATTCACACAAACTCACATTTCAGGGGATCCAATCACCCAGCTGCGGTCTCGACTCTTCAAGCCCACAAAGCTATCATGTCTGTCATCCTTTTCTTCACTGAAGCTCCGTTTGGTGGGTGGTGGCGTTTTTCTCTCTTCATGGATGGAAAGACGTTCCATGCTGCTATATACCTACAGGTACAATGTAACTGTTGATCAGCAAACCAAATGATTCAGAGCTTAAATACTGAATTTGGATGTCCATGGAGATTCTCAGTCATCCAGGCCATGGTTGTCCCAAAGGTACTTTTTTAAGAGGCAACTGGACTTTCTTGTTTTTATCTGAAGATGTTTCGCTTCTCATCCAAGAAGCGAGACATCTTCAAAGAAAAAAGAAAAAAGAAAGTCCAGTTGCCTCTTGAAAAAGCACCTTTGGGACTGAATTTGGTTATGTCTTTTGATTAGCTACCGTTACTTATCTGTAATTATATTCTCCAGAATTGAAGAAATCTGAGAATTTAAGACACATAAAACTGTATGCCCGTGAAAAATGCTATTCAAACGATTCTAAAGTTTACAGAATTGTTTAAAGCACAGCAATCAATACCCTCCCCCAGGTATAGTAAAATTAGGCACAGATGCCACTATATCCGTTCAATTCCAAAGATCAACATGGAGATTCTGAAGGAACAGTGAGTTATTTGAGACCAAGCACAATGGGATGGGGGACAGTGTAGACCAGGGGTAGGCAACCTCGGCTCTTTTATGACTCATGGACTTCAACTCCCAGAATTCCTGAGTCGGAGTTGAAGTCCATGAGTCATAAAAGAGCCGAGGTTGCCTACCCGACTCACAGATGACCATTCAAAGAACCACCATTACAAATAAAACCACATTCTTAAAATGGACCTTGGAAGATTAGGAAGAAACATTGGTCCTGGAGGAATGAAGTTTAACAGTGGAAGTAAAGAGAGAAAACACAACTAACTTCCAAAGAATGAAGTGATGGTGTTTAGAGATTATGGGGGGGGGGAGGCAAAACAATGCCTCGATCCAAGAAAAGGGTTAAGACTGACTTCAGAAGGAAGGAAATATCTGGGCATATGATTACCTTGACCCTATGAAAAATAAGAAAAGCAGGATCTCATTATAAGGAACCTCTAAAGACCAACAACACCGTTGTTAGAAAGGTTATTTTCAATGGGAGACGATGCATTCGGAATGGTATCCTTGGCTCAAAAGATTTTGACATTAACACAGAGAGAACTGTTAGTGGACATGATAATTCAAAAGTTATACCCAAACAACTTTCAAACTATTTGTACTCTCTTGAAGCAACACCTCCTCAGAAAAGGAAATCTGAATTTCCTCTTATATCTTACCTTCACAGCTTTCACTGATAATGGATGCTATTTAGATTTACAGAATTGTTGAGAGTCAGGCAGTGTACAAATGTAAATCATCATCACCATCTGCATTCTTGCTCTTGCATTGACAAGAGCCTATCAAGTTAGCCTCTACTAGCCTAGGAATGTCCTGACCTTCTCTGACATGTGAAACAGAAATGGGGATATCTACTTCCACAAAAAATGATGGAATGTCACCACAGATGTTTAGTTGTTGGCAAGATGGAGAGGTACCCTTGATAAAAGTAAAAATCATAGGGTTTCCTCACGGGCAACAGAAAATTCAATCAGTCTCCCAAAGAGTTAACATTGTTCCCAGACGCTATTTGGAATACAGTAGAAACTTTGGGGAAACAAGCATGCTCCCAGACAGAGAACTGCAAACTAAAAGAACTATTATGTGCGCATTTAATAAATGTAATATTTACAAATGTCTGCTGTGTAACCTTCACCAAGGCAAATAGGGCATAATTTATACCCATCCAGGGGGAAACACGCAAAATGGAGTCCTTCTGATTGACAGTCAGATGCCTACAAGAGGACACTGATGGCCTGAGAACTGTTGGGAATCTTGAAGAAGAATCAACAGAAGAATAAATAAAATAAATTGAATTAGGAAGGAAAAATCATTTCTATTAAGCAAAATCTCAGGGATGAATGTGCTAACACTATAAAAAAATAAAAAGTAGGCATTTGATGGACCTTTCAGGAGCAGAGCTTTTATTAACAATACTGTATGCTTTAAGAAATTCAGAATGGAGCTCTGTGCAAACACTTAACCCATATAGGCATGAAAAAGAATAAAAAGATAATGGAACCCCAAACCTTCTCAGAGTGAACAGTACTAATATATTTTATTTATATTTATTTCTACATACATACACACACATATACCACACACATACATAATTAAATATGTAATAATTTATTGGATTAAAAATATATTTTCTTGTACTGGTGCTCCCTAAAATCCTTTTTAAAACAGCTCAAACAACATTTGAAACAGACATTTTGGAAAGCAATACTTTATCTGTTTAATGCTGAAAATAAGTCAGCTGGTAACATTTCAAGATCCATAGTTAATCTACTTCCCCCCAAAATCCCACAGTAATAAGCCTAACCCAAAGAGGTATTTCAAAGAGAAATTATACCCCCAACTGACCACTGTGCGTTTTTAATCATGCCTCAGTGGTTTTACACTGATATTTTAAATCACCGAAGAGTTAATTGGAAGGAGAAAAGAAATTCATGTTTCTAGGACTGAACTCAACTGAGAATCTGATTTGCATATCAAACTGATGAAAATATCATTATAAAAAATTCACAACATCACAGGGTAGTTATTAATAAATTATCTGGCCCAATTGTCAGACAAGACTTTCAAATGAGCCTTCCATGCCACCCACTTTGAATACAGTATTATTCTTCAAAGTGTAAAATATAAGCATGCCAGCATCACATCCCTTAAAGATACTGGTTTAGTTTCCACTTTATTCTCTCTGCTTCCTCACAAAAAACTCCTTTCCAGTTAATATCAATCTTAATGTTCTCACAATATTCTTTAAGACTGTAAAGTATCTACTAACACATATACTGTATGTAACAAAAGAAAAATAGTCAGTGTGGTGTGTGTGTGTGTAAATAAATAATTTCAGTTGCATCTGCAGTTTCTAATGGTGATCAACGAGAGTATGCCGCTTAAATTACTGAATGCAAGGAATACTTATTAAACTGAATTTCAAAATTTGTGTTCCATGAACAAGTCACTTATGTACCTTCTATGTTATCAAATACATATTTAGAATCTTTCATAATATCCTGATATCAATATTCATTTTCTATTTTAAGATTGCTGAAAACTGAACTCTGCAAAGATATGACATCATAAAAATTCAAAATATCCCATGGTACCCTTGTGAATTTGGGTCTATGACGACTCACTGCAGCCAGGTGGGCGTGACTGGGTAGGCGTGGCCATCTGAGGGCTGCCAGGTGGGCGTGGTGAGTGGGCGTGGCTGGGTCGATGCGAAGGATTAGGTGCAGCCCATTCAGGACGGATGACTCGGGGCAGATGACTTGGGGCAGGTGGGTGGGCGTGGCCAAGTGGATGCAATCATGTCGGTGTGGCTGGCTAGGGGGCGCTGGGTGGGCGTTGCCAAGTTCGGAAGTGGCAAATTTGAAAGGCAAAGGGTGGGTCTCCCCCTCCCCCTTTAAAGAAATGCTCCTTTTTTCTTGCTGCTTCCTGAGCAGAGATTGCTATCTCTGGCAGGGAAGGGAGAGGTTGGATCCCCCCCCTACAATTTGGTGAAACAGAGCATTTTTGCTCTGTTATCTCTGTTATCCGCCCTCCTTTTGATGATCTCCCTCCTTCTCCTCCATTTCCACCCTCCCCTTCCCCATTTCTGTGGATTTGACCAAATAGAGAATGATGAATCCCTTCCTTGCTTCAGTGAGATATCTGGATTTATAACTCTGAAGAAATGTAGAAGTTGCATCCAGTGCTGATCATCCTCACATGCTCCATGTAGTGAACTAGCCCCCCCAAACATAGCAGAGAAGTCTCTGCTCAAAAAGCAGCAAGAAAAAATGCTCCGTTTCACCAAATTGTGGGGGGGGATCCAGCCCCTCCCTTCCCTGCCAGAGATAGATTCAATCTCTGCTCAGGAAGGAGCATTTCTCTAAAGGGGGAGGGGAAACCCACCCTTTGCCTTTCAAATTTTTTCGCTTCCCTGCTTCCTATTTGCCAGCATGTCCCTGGGTGATTTTTGTTTTGGTGGGGTGCCAAGTTGGCTCCATCTCCAGCTGCCCACGGTGACTTGTTCTGCGCCTACTTGGCCACACCTACCCTAGCCAGCCACACTGACGTGATTGCGTCCACTTGGCCATGCCCACTCACCCGCCCCGAGTCATCCGCCCCAAATGGGCTGCATCTAATCCTTCGTGTCGATCCAGTCACGCCCACTCACCCACGTCCACCTGGTGGCAGTCAGATGGCCACGCCTACTCAGTCACGCCCACCTGGCTGCAATGAGTCCTCCCATTCCCTGTGAATTTGATGTAGTGCTCCAGAACACAACTGTGGGGAGTTTGGAAAGTGTGGCATATATAACTGTGGCATATAACTTGAGACACAAATCCTTTCCATAAAGAGCCCACTATTGTACATATTGGTGACCTACTTTTGAAAAGTTGAGCTCCCAGCATACTACAGAGAGTTTTTCAAATTGTTTTCATCAGAATTTTCAAAACCCATGTATTCAGGAACACCTCATACCTTGCTAAATCTAGGTGAACATGAGGAAAACTGTCTAATTTTCATATGATCATCATCATTTGTGTCTTCCTCCTCCTCAGAATCTAAGTGTTGATATCGCTCAGTACGAGCTGCAAACAAGAAAACAGATTTGAGCTCAAGTATTTGCACAAGGAGAAAGCCTAGCGTATTAGTATTTTCTGCACTTAGAAGCAAATGTAGTGCAGGAAGGTGCACAGGTGGCTGCCATAGTATGGCATGATCATGCCAGGGTGTTGCTGCTACAGAGGGTGGGAGGGTGCACAGGCACACAGGCATGTGCAGTGGGTGCAAGCAGGCACACACTACAGAATACAAGATCCTGGGGAGAAGTACAAGATCCTCAGGAGAAAAAGCAGCAGGTGTGGGAGCAAGTTACAGGAATTATTTGAAACTTTCCCTGCCAGCTTCCCCCTTAACTTGCTAGTGGGAAGCTGGCAGGGAAGGTTTCAAATGGTGATCATGTGACCACAGGATGCTGCAAACATTGTTAAATGCAAGCCAATTACCAAGCACCCTGATCGTGATTAGATAACTTCAGATCACGTAAGGCCAGAATTTCAAGGACTAGTTGTAAGTACCACTCATTCAGTGCTGTCATAACTTTTAACAGTTGCTGAACAAGTCATTATTAACCAAAGACTACCTGATTAACTATAAAAGCTTCATGAGGTTGTTTAACTCAGTATGATCTGCTGAATAAAGCAAATCAAGCCAAACAGAATATAGATAGTCCTCAATTTACGACCACAATTTAGCCCAAAATTTATGTTGCTAAATGAGACATTTGTTAAGTGAATTTTGCCCCTTTTATGACTTTTCTTGTCACAGTTGTTAAGTGAATCATTGCAGTTGTTAAGTTAGTATCCTGGTTCTTAAGTGATTCTGGCTTCCCCATTGACTTTGCTTGTCAGGTCACAAAAGTTGATCACATGACCCTGGGACACTGCAACAGTCATAAATATGAACCAATTGCCAAGCAACTGAATTTTGATCACATGATCATGAGGATTCTGCAATGGTTGTAAGTATGAAAAACGATCATAAGTCACTTTTTTCAGTGCCGTTGTAACTTTGAACGGTCACTAAGAACTGTTGTAAATCAAGGACTACTGGTAAATTGTTTTCTGAATTCGCATTAGCTAAGGAAAAGGAGAACAATGTATAGAGCCCTCTAAATGGAGGCTATATACTGGACTGCAAGTTTTATCATCCTTCAACGCTATCCATATTGACTACAGCCAGTAGGAAATTTTCTTTAGCAAAATCTGGACGACTGTAAGTTGTCCATTCTTGACTTAAACCTAGCCACCCATCTCTTATGGCAAACAATATTGAAGAGTGGGAGTGGGAGAGAGAGAGAAAAAAAGAGAGAAAGAGAAAGAAAGAGAAAGAAAGAGAAAGAGAATATATCATCTTCTTTGCACAGGATTCAAGCATATGTAGGAAATCTATCTGCACAGAGCAAGCTCTCTACTTAAAAAATATTGATATTTAGTTCCCAGACACAATTAATCTTTTAACATGGGATATCTAAAGGAACAATTAGAATTATATATGGCTAAATGGACACTATGAAATTCAAATCTATTTTAGGTCCATTTTCAAAAATAGGCTTGTGCGTTTCCTATATTTATGAAAACATAAGCAAAATGCTAAAATAATTATAATCTCTGATCATTTTTCCTTACTGTCAAAATAACTAGTATCATCTTCTGACTCTAATTGTGGGATAAATTCTGCTTTTTGCCGTAGTAATCCATTCCAGTCTAAGTCTTTGAAGAAACTGTGTTGTTTCACTTCAAAAGCACTACCTGTAATGACAACAGTTGTGAGGAGTTCTTCATATAGTAGCAAGTACAGTTCATCTAAAATCTGAACAAAAATCAGAGCTCAGTAGAGACATGTTACACTCACTTTCTTCTCCAAAATAATGACAAGAGATAAATTGGTGATGTTGTAATAACATAAATTCAAATACGTCTGAATTACTTAACCATAAAGGAAGGAATAAGGGGATTTTGCATGCAGGTATATGCAATTTTTAAATTGTATGTTAGTTTTTTATACATTTTTTATTATTATGAGGAATGAGAATCTATGTTCAATCTCATAAGTTCTGAACAACTATCAAAGCAGAATGCAAAATATTTTAATACTGTTGCTGATGGAAGTATGTGGAACACTGGATAGAAATACTGGAACCTGTCTAGTTATTTGTCAGCAGATGCATTTTTAAAGGAATGTTTAAATATTGGCCAATATTAATCTCTACTAGAACAAAATAAACTTTGTTACAAGACCCACCAATACATTAACTGTACTAAGTTAGAAAACTGCAAGCAACAAGCACTAAGATTACATATAAAATTATATTTTTGTATTATGGAACTAATTTACACTTTTTTTGGCTATTTTACTCTAAATCAGGGGTGTCAAACTCACAACGTCACGTGACGTGTCGCAACTTATCGTGACTTTTTTGCCATTGCCGGCAATGGGGTGGGCGCCGTTTCGCTATGATGCATCCGGCCCGCGGGCCAGCAGTTTGACAACCCTGCTCTAAATGGACAAAATGGCATAGAAGTGGCATATATGTATACCCAAAATGGCATCTAACCTAATATTAAGTATGAAAAAATAAAAATTTACATGTCAATCTAAAATCATTTTTATAAATATGAAGCACCTGTTCCCAGTCTTTCCAAAGGGTTTTGTCGTAGGAGTTTACCAATCAAGTCCTGGGCATCTAGTGGTAAAGCTTCATCTCCTTCTGGCCAGACAATTTCATCTGCAGAAATTAGATTGACAGGATTACATTCTGCACAGGATTCTATGCATAGAATAGTGTTTTCATGTCTCATGCCCCTCAACTTCTCCTCCCTCAGATATAAGCCCCCACCACCACCAACAGCAATCTTCAGTTAAAAGTGTCCGAGGGATCTGATCATTGGGTCAAAATGATGAAAGCCAGGTAGTGCCTTCATCCCTTTCATATGTTTGCAAAATATCATGACATGTATAAAAAAAGAGCAGAACTTATACTGCAACAGCCCAATGCTGCTTTCATCTCCTGTCCTACTAACAACTCTGTCTTCAATGTCAGGAGAATCTCTTGATGAGAGATGTACCAGATGATATGCAGAAGCAAATTAAACTGATATTATGAAAGGCATTCTCCAGGTACAGATAAAATAATTATCTATTTTTTCAACCACTGTTGGATTAAATACATGCTATAATATTAAATATATTGCATATACAGATATATAGTTTAAATAGTTGGTTTAAGGACAGTCAATACTTGGAAAGGGCATGCCTGAAAGAAACAGTTTAGATCAAGGGTGTCAAACTCGCAACATCATGTGACGTGTTGCAAAGTATCATGACTTTTTTTCCATTGCCAGCAATGGGGTGGGTGCGGTTTTGGCATGATGCATCCGGCCCGTGGGCTGGCAGTTCGACACCCCTGGTTTAGATCCTTTCCCTGGGACAAAAAGAAAAAAAGCATTGCCGCTTTATTTTATTTTGTGCCTTCAAGTCAATGCTGACTTGGTGACTGCCTGGACATAAGGGGAACCTGGCAGGGAAGATTTCAGAAATGGTTTGCCACTGCCTCCTTCGGTGGGGGAGGGGGAAAGAGAGAGGGGAGAAAGAGGGAGAGGGAGGGAGAGGGTGGGGGGAGGGGAAGAAAGGAACTAACCTAAGGTCATTCAGCTGTCTTTGTGCCTAAGACTCATGTTTCCAAGTTTCTAGACTGGTGATGTGATCACTATACCAAACTGGTTTTCATTGCTACTTTAAGAATTGTATTAAGTTCAAATCTGAAATTCCATAAAGCAGCAGTAACATTTTTCAGGCTCATATGGAAATCCGAAAAAGATAGAATGCTTTAATGAATAGCTAAATATGCTGCCCTCAGAGGTCTGAAGCACTTCTGAATCATTTCTGAAGTACAGTATGCACAGCGCTACTGAATATACTGCAGGTGATATGGATATTTAGCTATCAACTAGGTTAATATTTTTTTGTAATACAATTGTATATTATCTCAGGCCTTTAATACTTATAAAAGTTGGATACCTACCACTGATAACTTGCCCAAATAACTCTTCTGGGGTGTCTCCAAAAAAAGGAACACAACCAACTAGAAATTCATACAAGATTATTCCCATGGCCCACCAGTCCACAGGCTTTCCATAACCTTGTCGCAATATTACTTCAGGCGCAATGTATTCTGGAGTCCCACATACCTGAAAAGAAAATAAAAAAATGTTCACAGGATGAAGAAACTCAAACAATAAAATTATATGTAAACCATGTTTAAACAATGTGAAACAGGTTCATTATTCATTACAAAAAATGTAAATATTTTTAATTAAATACTGGCACAAAAACATTTGAGATATGATTAATTTAAATCTGTCCAAACTGAACAGAATTTTTCACTGCTATTCTTAAAGGAGTTAAAATTTCAATTTTACTGTGCTGTTTCTGGGTCAAGATATAAAACTTATGTTGAACATATTTGCTTCAGGCAGTTTTTAAAAATTAATATATGCAGATATGCATAGTAATTTCAAAACTGTAATTTTGGCTTACTTGCTTATCCAAGAATTCTCTGGCATCTTTCTCAATATGACCTTCATACAGATTAGTTGTCAAACTCATTAAGCCAATTTTGGAGAGGCCAAAATCAGTCAATTTGACGTGACCCATTGAGGTTATGAGAAGACTGAAAAAGGGGAATACAGATTAGTATTATAATGCCATCTATGAACATTTAATCATGCCACAATACCATGCTATTATTTATCAACGCCTTCTAACAAATATTACACAGGCAGTCCTCAGCGTATGACCACAAATTGAGCCCAAAATTTATGTTGCTAAACAAGGCAGTTTTTAGATGAGGTTTGCCCCATTTTACAACCTTTTTGCTAGAGTTGTGAAGGGAATCACTGAAATTGTTACGTGAATCATGCAGTTGTTAAGTGAATCTGGCTTCCCCCACTGACTTTGCTTGTCGGAAGCCTGCTGGAAAGGTTACAAATGGTGATCATATGACAGTGCAACTATCACAAATCCATGCCAGTTGCCAAGTGCCTGAATTTCAATCATGTGACCATGGGGATGCTGCAATGACCGTAAGCGTGAAAACCAGTTATAAGGCCTTTTTTTTAAGTTGCTGTTGAAAACCACTAAATGAATGGTCATAAGTCGAGAACTACCTGTAACTTTAATATCTCATTACTGTAGAAAATGTCTTACATAAGAATATACTGAAAACCTTAAAGGATTATTTCAATGCAGTAAACATTCAGTAACATTTGAAATGTAGATTTCTATGCATTTTGCATGCTAGTGATTATGAAGTCATCTATGCTACCTGCCTCCCAGGGGAATTAAGCTTAGAAAGCTCTCATTGGACAATGGCAACAATTTAGATAAGAGTGACTAAAAAAGCACAAAATATTCCCATTCAGCTATGCCTCCAACCATATATCCTGTTCAAGGAAGCTTTCTTTCTTTCTTTCTGGTCTGTCTGCCTCCTGGGTGATGAGATATTTCAACAAGGAGAAAGAAAAAAACAAAAATGAAAGAAAGCCAGAATTAGCTATGTCCTAGCCCAAGTTTGTTTTTGGCCATGGTTACTGACAATTCTATTACTTTCTATTATCAGTACATCGCCTATGAAATTATTTTCACTGGAATATGACTTTTGACATGCATTTCCCCATTTATACCTTAAACTGTCACTATTTATATACATAAGCCTTGCCATAAAAGGAATTACCTGCTGAATAACACTTTAAAGAAAAAAAATCAGGGTCTAATTTGAGAAATTTGAGTAATTTTACATAAAGACACTGAATTGGACCCAAACTTAGTAATGCTTTTTAAAAAATAATTTAAATCAATGAGGTTTTGTTTTAAAATGCCCTTGAATTGATTTCTGATGACTGCATCTAGCTAAATTTCTTGCCAGTGTTATAGAACGATTTTTCATTGCTTTCTTCCAGAAAGTTTGAATTCTTACTAGATGTATCTAATTTAAATTCTATCTTTACAGTCTCACACATTAAACATTTGAACCAAGTACATGTGTATAAAAAGATAAAAATTATAGGCTTGTTCACCTTGCAGTTTTACTGGGTATTAAATGCAGTGTCCTTGTACAAGGACAATCAAAGCCTTCCTATTGTTGAAATGCCTCCCTTTAAATTTAGGACATGATTAATGAAAGAATAGTTATTCAATAAATTTTATCGAGATAATCACAATTGGATATTTGTCAAGAAGCAATTCAAGAATAAATATTAAAATGAAAAGTTGCCCCTCCAGAGGAGAGAAAATAGTACAAGTTGTTGCTATAGATATTTTTAGAATGAACAGGTGCAACTGCAAGTACAAACACGAGAAGTTAAAAGCATACTTGTCAGGTTTTAGATCACGGTGGACAATTCCATAATTGTGAAGGTATTCTAGTGCCAGTACCGTTTCTGCAAAATACATTCTTGCCATATCTACAGGCAATGCTCCAATGTTCTTCAAAAGAGTTGCACAATCCCCTCCTAGATCACAATAAAAACATAATTTCTATGTTCATTATCAGACTATACAAAGCTGACAGTATATCATGTTATATACCAGTGATGGCGAACCTTTTAGAGACAGAGTGCCCAAACTGCAACCCAAAACCCACTTATGCATCGTTGGGTGCCGGGTGGGTGTGGCCCATCGGCTGGGTGTGGCCAATTGGGTGGGTGTAACCCATTGGGTGGGCATGGCTGCAGTGGTAACAGCAGACTGGGTGGGGCTAAAAAGTTCAATCAATCAATTCCAACTTTGCAAGATCTTTTTTTTCCGCGAGAAGTTGAAATTGACTGATTGATTGAACCTTTTTTTTTTTTTTGCACACAGCAGCGGAGGCCTAAAGCGAAACGGTTTTATAAAACCCAGCTGAAGGCCTAGGACTGGGGCGACGGCACGCGTGCCCACAGAGAGGACTCTGAGTGCCGCCTCTGGCACCCGCGCCATAGGTTCCCCACCACTGTTACATACAGTATATCTTTATCTGTGTCTAATCAAAAGAAAAACTAAAACTAGACCAGGAATTTTAGAAGTTATTTTATTGGACCAAACGTTTGGCCAAAATTTTAGTCCAATGCATTATCTTTGAAATAACAGATCAGTTTCTAAATTCATTCTCAAAAGGCGTTCATAACTGAGGAATGTTACATTAATATAGAAAGGAGCAAAAAATAGGATATTTCTGTCTACTCTTCCATACAATGCTAAACAGATATTGATATGGAGGAAGACCAGGGAAATGTGAGGCAGATAGGAATATAATTTGGTGGTGATGAATTAGGAAAAATCAGTGGAAGTATTTGGTGCCTGTTTCCTCTTTTGGATCAATTAGCTCATTCTAGATCCAGCCGTATTGCTTTGGCTGCTGTTGGTAAATACCAACTCTGTTGGTAAGATCTCTTTCATTCAGAATAAAGTGATGGACAAATATACAGATATGGCATATATTGCTGAAATGTGGTAGAACAGAGCAAGTTTTATAGCACAATATAGTCATTCTATTTTGAAAGATGTGAAACAAATCCTAGACTGAGAAAAATAATGAAAGTATCCTAGCACCTAACTGAATCGTCATATTTAATCTCTCTCTTCCTAATGAAAACCATTTTGATTAATACATTTACTATAATGTCTGGATAAATTCTGGATACCTTCCACATACTCCATGACCATGCAAAGATGCCGCTTGGTTTCAAAGGAGCAAAACATGCTGACCACAAAAGGATTTTCTGCAAAAGTTAGGATATCCCTCTCCACAAAAGCTTGCTGAATTTGGTTCCTTAAAATAAGGTTCTGCTTATTAATCTTCTTCATTGCAAAACGTTGACGTGTATTCCTGTGGCGCACCAAGAACACCGCACTATGATAACACATGAACAATATGTTTTATAAGGGATTAGAAAGAATACATCTGAAGTTTCACCTGACTGATCAATTCATAAAGCTAAGTAAGAACTCACAAAATGGACAGGATTAATTAGCACCAAGTAATTTGCCTTTGTTCTCCAGGCTGTTCTTCAATTTTAAAGTTTTTTTTTTAATTGTGACGGATAGAATTTTATGTTGGATTCAAGTGAATGAAAATAGAAAACAAGAAAGAATAAAAGACTCTTAGAAATAAAGCTATTTACCAAGTTAGCATTACAAAATTTAAAATACTGAATCTGTTTCATTCATGTGTAACTTTTACTTCAAATATAACTTCTATAGTCAAATGTTCTTTTTATTTTTATCAATTCCCCGTGTATTAAGATTTTTTATATCCTTTTGTTTGACTAAGTATTCCTCTGGCGGGAAAAGTGGCTGCTTTCCTTTCTTTGAAAGAGATTTTCAGGCAGAGATGTGCAGCCATTTAATCTAAAAGAGAAAAGGTGCTGTGCATCTACAGAACCTATCAGTGCCTCCTTTAACTGGCAGGTACATCAAATGGGTTGAGTCAGATCCCTTCCAAATAATCTTTTCTGCTTCAAATCTGAAGCACATCCATATTTATTAGGGATTTGCAAAACATTCTGCATATAAACAATTCTCTGGACAGAACATCTAATTTGGGATGATGTCAGCTTGAGTCAAAACATTTTCTAGATATGGTCCTGCTGCTACTGATTTAGGCTCAACATGTGGTGGAACTTTGTGGGGAAATAGCAGGAATTGAAGCAGCAACTGGTACAACGAGAGAGTCATTTTGAAGCTAACTAATTAGAGGTTGGTAAGAGAGTCACAAAGAAAAAAAATTGCAGCTTGACAATTGGACTCATTGATGGATTGGTGCATCTGCTTGATCAGGGGATAACTGGTATGCAAGTATTTAGTTGCCTGCTGCCTCAGAGGAAGCCTTTAGATTCGCAATTCCATTTCTATTTTTTCATTTGTAGTTTTATTTTGACCTAAGATATTGTATTGATAAGAGCTTTAATCAGATGTGAAAAAGAAAAAAAGAGAAGAGAAATTCAGCCAGCTTTTGAGTTTAAATACACCCCTTCCCCCAAATCAAGAGAGTTGGCTTATTGGGGGATTCCTCCAGTGAGGTCTGTGAGTATTGGTACTGAGTGCCTTGCAACTTGCAAGGAATGTGAGCATGTACAATCAAGAAGGCCCTTTCTTTTTATACTTTAATAAGAGGTTTGCCCATAGGGCAGTGATGGTGAACCTTTAAGAGACTGAGTGCCCAAACTGCAACTCAAAACCCACTTATGCATCATCGAGTGCCGGGTGGGTGTGGCCCAGTGGCTAGGTGTGGCCAATTGGGTGGGTGTGGCCAATTGGGTGGGCGTGGCTGCCGTGGTAACGGCAGACTGGGTGGGACTAAAAAGTTCAATCAATCAATTCCAATTGCAAGATCTTTTTTTTCCCGCGAGAAGTTGAAATTGACTGATTGAACCTTTTTTTTTTTTTGCATATGGCAGCGGAGGCCTAAAGCGAAAAGGTTTTATAAAACCCAGCTGAAGGCCTAAGACTGGGGCGATGGCGCTCATGCCCACAGAGAGGGCTCTGAGTGCCGCCTCTGGCACCCATGCCATAGGTTCGCCACCACTGCCATAGGGCTTCTCTTCCCACCCATCTCCAGTTTAGGGTCCACTCATTACACTATCCAAACCATATTGCTTCCTTATAAAAACTTCACTAAATAAACCAAGGTTGTGAGAGCTAGGCTACTGGGAGGGAGGATATGATCAATGCTTAGCGGTCAAGGTAAGGCTGATTTTAGCACGATGCCTAGTCCTCCTGAGGCAGCAATAGTGCCATGAAATGGCCTCATGGTGACTCAGGAGCATTTCCTCAGCAGAAGTGAAGTTGGTGCTGGCATTTCAGGCAGGCAGCCATTTCTCTTGTTGGGAACACAGGAATACAAATAAAGGTCAGAGAAGGAGGAGCTACTGTTGCCTCCTGAATCTGAGCGCTCTGAATGCACAGTTTTATTCCTACAATTTACAAAACAAATGGCATATACAATCTTAAATTTTAAATGCAGCCATTTAAAAATATTAAAAAACAAATATTTGCATTCCCACATCATCAAGATATTTTTTATAAAAAAAATAAACCTCATTTTAAAAAACAAATGCTAGTATAACTTATTAGTCTTACCCATATGCCCCATTGCTGATCAATTTAATAGTTTCAAACCCCTCTTCTGATGGTGTTTTCTTGGATTGCACAGTAGCTCCCCGATTCTGAAAATAGCAAAAAAAACCTTTCATTCCACTTTTAATTTATATTGCATAACTGCATATTAACCACCAACCCAATTCTTCTGTGGAAGTATAAATGAATATAAATATTATGATTTCATTGTGCTTCTAAAGCTACATGCTTTTTTGCTAACCTGACAATTTCCATAATAAAATTGGAAGGAATTTGAACCGAAGGAGCTGAGTAAACGAACAGAGTGCTTGGTTTACTGTGGGCTGGATCCCTGGCCCTCCTGGGTGGTACGAGCTGTGAAGGAGTAGACGGGAAACTGTTCTGATGAATGCCTCCTTGCAGGAGGAGCTGATACAGCCATTCTTCAAAAAGGCACAGATAACCCTCTTCCTTAAGGAAATAGGCTGAGACTCAACCTAAGCAAAATTAAATGACTGTTGATTCAGAAGTCAACAGAGTCCAGAACAGTAATAACTTTAGTGTTAAATAAGGTCATACTCCCTACAGAAAGATATGATGGTGTGTGTGCATGACAATAAGAATAATTTCTCAAGATTCCAATCTAACACGATTTTTTTATGAGCCATAGTGATGCAGTAGTTAGAATGCAGTTTGAACCTCACCAGCTCAAGGTTGACTCATCCTTCCATCCTTCCGAGGTCGGTAAAATGAGGACCCAGATTGTTGGGGGCAATATGCTGACTCTGTAAATCGCTTAGAGAGGGCTGTAAAGCACTATGAAGTTGTATATGTCTAAATGCTATTGCTATTTATGAAACAGAAATATGGCTGCTTAGCAAATTTAATTTTCTATTCATTTTCTAAATATTTTCTATTATAATACTTAATATTATTCAACAGATAGGTACAGTGGATATAGAAAGTCTGTATACCCGTTAATGTGCCAGGTTTTTTAGATGCAAAAAAAAACAAAAAACCAGACCACGAAAAATCACCAAAATTTTTCCATCTTTGTTCAATTCAATTGAAAAACAAACTGGAATCTTTAGAGAGGAAGAAGGGGGGAAAAACCTAGAATAATGTTACTGTATAAGTGTTCACACCCTTTTATAAATAGGGATGTGGCTGTGTATGTTATACTAGTGTGTATGTTATACTAGCTTGTATGTTGTAATGTTGTAACAGCTTATATGTTATATTAAGGGTGGAAAAAATTCTGAAGTGCTTTATCTGGGTCTGGGTTTTTTACACTCAAAAACCTGGCATTTTAACAGGGGTGTGTAGAGGTTTCTATATCCACTGTAATTATCATTAGGGAAAAATGTGCACAACTTATACTTTGCTAATATCAGTACAGAAATGTTTTTATATTATGGAATGGAGCTTTTTAAATCACTACCTTTCCTTCTGCAGAATCATCTGTCTCTGGGGTATCTGGACTATCACAACTATTCAGCTGGGCCATTTCTGGAAAGAAAGGAAAAACATTGTTGGAATATTCATGAGCAGGAAGAGTCATGTGGTAACTCAGTCAGCCAATGTGAAGAAAGTGCTACTGAGTCTGTGCAAAAGGTATTGAGTTAGGAGCTGGATTTTGTTTGTTTCAGTTTCAGTCTAAGGTCTATCTCTGCTGTAAAAAGTCTTCATTGTACTATGTTGCTGTAAAGAAGAATGTATGATATTGTAAATAATTTTATATGAATATAAAGAGTTTATTTGAATCAGCTAAATGCAGTCAACTGTGAGAGCTTCTGATTTATTTTTACCAACAGAGAAAATTAAAATTCTCTAACAAACATGCTTTTAAGATGTAACAGTATACAATCATTGGTATTCAAAGAATAATACACTTACTGCCTTAGTTCATTTGCAGTCCTTCCTGCATAGCTTGTGTGTGTGTGTGTGTGTGTGTGCCTTTGAGTCAGCCTTGACACCTGGCAATTGCTGAACAATTCCCTACAGTTTTCTTGACAGCATTTTCAAAAATAGTTTGCCACTGCCTTCTTCCTTGGCCTGAGAAACTAGTATAAAGAGTGTGAGACTTTCTGCACGAGGTCTGTATTGGATGCTGATGGGTAGGAAAGACAGTAGCACACAAGATTTTTTATACTTTTTGGCCAAACCAAAATGTCACGGATGATCACTGTACTTAACTTATATCACTTTACTTTGTAACTATGCAAATAATACATCTCCTTAGTGTTGGTAAGGTTATTCTGATTAATGTATAGCAGTGGTCTTCAAACTTGGCCCTTTTATGACTTGTGGACTTCAACTCCCAGAATTCCTCAGCCAGCATCTGGGAGTTGAAGTCCACAAGTCATAAAAGTGCCAAGTTTGAAGACCCCTGATGTATAGGATAGATTCTATATTTTCTCATAACACTTTTTTCATGTTTAAAATAAATGAAATAATTACACTGTTCATTTTGGAAAAATCAGAGTCATATACAGCGTTTTGTATGTTACATGTTTTCCCTTTTCTGTTTTTATTTAGCCCTTTTCTGTAGTTATTTCAGTCTATGAGTCATATGAAGCCTCAGCAAAATTCCAAAAATGAAAAATACCAAACACCATTTGTCATCTTCAATATAAAATTATTGTACTCTGATATTATTTTTTGCTGTAAATAGTACTTTCTTCTATTAAAAAACTAATTTATTCTCTTTTTTGTGTGGGCAGTATTTAGAAAAATTAGTCCACAACATGTAAATTTCTGTTTAATGCAGAAGGTATATATCAATGAAAGATTGGATATGCATGGTCACTTCACACATAAAATTAGTGGGCTAATTCTAGAATTGAGCAGTCAAGAATAGAATAGCAGTATTTCTCAATCTCAGCGGTTTTAAGGACGTCAACTCCTGGAATTCTGGGAGTTTGAAGCCATTCATCTTAGTCTTTGGGAATGAGAAAAGTTGGAATTCAGTATTCCCCTAGAAAAGGAAATTGAAGCCCAATGGAACCATCCCCCTAGGACAGGGGTAGGTAACCTTGGCTCTTTTATGACTCATGGACTTCAACTCCCAGAATTCCTGAGCCTGCATGGCTCAGCTTGGAAACCTCTCCCTTTCCCCTCAGCATGGCTGGCTCAGGAATTCTGGGAGTTGAAGTCCACGAGTCATAAAAGAGCCAAGGTTGCCTACCCCTGCCCTAGGAGGAAAATTATAGGGATCTTAATTCTTTTTCTTGCTATTTCACCTACAGTTTGGGAGGGATTCATTGCAAATAGAGGGGAAACAGAAGACTCATCCTTTCCAGTCTATAGGACCACCTTTTTGATGAGTTCTGCTTTGTGCAATTTAGAGTGTGCAATATATGCTATTATATACTATATCATTAAAGTAATAATTAAAATGCATATGCACACTGTATAAATTTAATGGGACACTCTAATACTTACAGACATTCTTAAGAGTTGATGCACTCATTAGATGTTATGTGCTAGTTAATGTTTAGGAGAATGACTAAGATGCTTTGTGATATCCTACTCTTTTTCTGCTTCATTATAGTTCTAAGAATACAATGCTCTCACCCTCCAAGGGATCCCTGGTAAGGCCCAGCTGGCATATAATATAACGAGGGATGTCACATTTAATTCCTCCCCCTTCTTTGGCATGGCCTTCAGCAGCCTCTAGCAGATGGTAGAACTCTTCGGGATCAAACTCCTAAAGCAAAAGGATACAGAAAGAGAATATTTAATCTGATTTCAAAAACAAATGCTTATAACTCTAGGTATAATTTATTTTAAGAAAGATGAAAATAAAATGCATAGTTTAACTTAAATTTCTGTGATTTTTTAAATCTAGAATGAAACCCGATTTAAGGTTTACGACACAGCTTAGTATTGCTCTCCGTACATGGTTGTGTTTTGGAAAAATAATTCAGAATGATATTAGTTGAAACTTCTCATTAAGGCACCATAAGAGTAATGAAAGATTAGACAACAGAATTGTGGAAAACATTTTTCTTATTTCTTAATGAAAAATATATTTCTTATTTTAGTAAGGCTTACAACTCCATAGAGAGAGGATTTTGCACTGCATAACTGTGGAACAGATATGCAAAAGCATCATACCCTGCCTACTAAAATAGCTGGTTCATCAGAGAGGTCAAGGAGAGTCATTTGGTTGCGCTAGAAAGGCACACAACTGAAACCAATCTCAACGATTAATTTAAAAGTATTATGGGAATTGAAAAAACAGCCATATAAAGAGCAAGATAGCACATAACACCCAGTGTAATACTCCATTTTGTGTTGTAAAGTACTTCTTCTATAGAATTTGGGGGAGGTAGAAGAAATATTAAACTACAGAAAATCAGAAAAATCCCTGATCTAACCATTAACTGCATTCTATGTAATAACAATATTAAAAAGATGGAGGTGGCTGACAGATTAATAACAGATCCCACCTCCGCCCCTGTTCAGTTTACTCCCTCCCCCTATCTGTTAGCTTTATAATTTAAATTTGTATTGTTTTGTATGTATTTTAAATAGATTGTCAGCCGCCCTGAGTCCTACGGGAGAAGGGCGGGATATAAATTCAAATATAAATAAAATAAATAAATAAATAAATTGATATTTTTTATTTTTATAGTGTTTTACTCTTATTATATTCATACTGTTGCATTGCTTTATTCTTTTTAACATTTTAAGGGTCACCTTGTGGTTGAGAGGGGTGGCAAATAAATTCAACAAAGAAAATAAAAATAAAAAGTATTGTATTATTTATATAGACTACGTAGAGTGGATTAAATATCACTAGAACTAGAACATTTCCTGAAGGCACATGAATAATCTTAAGTATGTTATAGTATTAAAAAAGCAGCTACTTGAAAATTGCAATGTAACTGTATGAAGCTGCTCTGCTTGGAGATATTCCAGGCTGCATTGTATTATTTTGGCATTCAGCCATTTGGCACATAAAGCATGATCAGAGGGAAAGGATGATCCTTTTTATTTCCAAAAAAAGCATATGTAATTGTAATTACATTTTGAATTTTTCATTGTACATTGTAAGAAGGATCTCCTTTATAAAAAAAAAATAATTTGCAATAATCAGTTAAGGGTATTAAAATTTTCATCTCTCCTTCAGCAGTACACAAAAATAAGGCAAATGAAACCAGATGCTCTTTTTTATTATAGGAAATCAACTGTAATAACAGGAGCAAGCCAATGACTGATTAAATGAATAAATTTGGCACATGATACAAGAAAATGAACTACAAAAAACACGAAGTAAAACCCAAACATTATTGACATAGCTAACCATATTTTGCGGTCCTGACACATCATTTGACAACTGTCACAACCAGCTTCACATTATCACTGCTCAAATTTTAACCCATATTGTTTCCATTTTTCATTTTAAAACAATTTTGAGGCTAATTAATATCTTTCAACATCCCAGTTAATGATATTTACATGTAACTAAAAGTAGTTGTTTCAGCACAATTTTTATGAACTCTATACAGACATGCAAAGAGAGCAATAGAAGTAAACATTCCTTTTAATAAGCATAATTATAAGCCGAATATCATACTGACCTACTTTTAATTTAAATATGCTCTCAAAATTATACTTTCATATAAGAAGAATTTTTGAGGAATGCACACACATTCAGACACACTTTGTAGAATTCCCGAAGCTTTTATTGATGTGTAGTTTACCATATATCTTTTTTAAAAAAGCTCCAGTAAAATCGAAAGTCAGTTCATTATAGGTGAAACAGATTAATTATGATAAATTATTTTATTATTTAAATACAGTAAAAAAAACTGCACATAATTAAATGAAGTAATTAGGCTTTTGATTTTTTAAAAAAAATAATCTTACAGATAGTTCAGCAACTGATTTTTCAAAACTGATTTGAAATATACATTAGTGATCAACTGTTCAAAGAGGGGGGAAAATCTACATTAGAAGGGTAACTAACTCCCATTAGTTTCAAATAGATAAAATAACTTTCAGTTCAAATATTACAAAGTTATCTAGGGAATTTAAGGCCGAAAGGTTTTTGAAGAAGTGGATATGTAATGCTATAGCTTCCTTATGCATAGAATATACTATGTGAATATATAAAATTGAAATAATTTATCAGTTGGATATACTGTACTAGACTGAGAATAATAAGACCCAGGTTCAAAACCTCATTCAGCTATGAAATTCAGAGGGTGACTTTGAGCTAGTCATGATTTCACTGCTGAACCTACTTTATGGAGTTACCAAGACAACAAAGTAGAAAATGTGAGAGAACTGTATGTGGCAACTTGAGCTTCCGGAGGAAGTTGGGGGATGGATGGATGCATGGATGCATGGATGCATGCATGAACAAATAGACAGCCAGATAATTGGACCATGTAACTTGTGAGATGCTGCATTTATATACTACTAAACTCTCACGTCTATAACCGTGAGGGAAATGGTGTATCGTATTACCAATTTTTTTCAAGTAAGGTTCTTTAAATGGATTAATTTACAAAATGAGTCCAAAATCCAGGACCTATGACTCTCATGGAATCGAAATTTGGCTAAGTTTATAAAACATTTTATGACATAAAATTATAATGAAGCATTCTATGAAATAATACAAAATGTCATAAAACACACAAATCTATAATCAACTGCCTACTTCTATAGATACCTTATTAGTCACAATCAACATAGATTGACCCTAACCCTAACTCTAACCCCAAAATTTACATGACACTATTTTTCAAGCTGAACGACAGCTGCAATATCATAGTATAAACTCTGATAACAGTGTACAAATTTATTTATCAAGCAGTAAACAATACGGAATTGTATTCCTTGATTTATAATGGCTGCTATAATCTGTGTGAAAGGACAATTAAGAAGTGGCAAGATCTATTCACTAGAAACCAAATGCAACAGAAGCAGGCCATTATTCATAAAACTATAAAGTCTTTTAGTAGAACAGCCACTAGTTCTCTGATTTATGTAATCTTTTTGGAAACATATTTTGTTACACTCAATACTGGACATAAATTTTAAACTATTGGGTGCGTATGTCAGGTCCCTGGGAGATTTTACTATCTTACAAAGCCCCTAAAAACTCTGCGTGCTTACCAGACATTCAAGCAACCTCGCTGGACGTGCAATGATGATCATCAACTTTTTTACCAGTTGGGTAACAAATGCCACATCAGAACTTTCTGACCGTTCGTGAGCCTAGGGGAAAGAATGTCGCATTACAATATGTACAAACAATGGATCCTGCATATTTCACCTCTGAAGTGAACATCAATAATTTAATTATAGCTAAAGCACGACACAGCCACAATTAACATTATTCATGTTCTGTATTGGGAGAATCTTAAACATAACGTCAACTCATATGCAATATTGTAGAACCTTTTTTTATAACATTCACTGGACATCTAAAGGTTTCTTTTCCTGCAATTCATTATATATAAAACTCTTTTCAGTGCCTTGTCATTATTCTAAAAAAGCTTCCTGAAGGACATAAAAATGACTCCAATTTTTATTAAAACATTAAAGACAACTTTGCCGTGTTAATTAATAAGAAATTGGATTCAAACACCAATATTTTTGGTAAGGTGTTTACCTGCTCAATTGTTTTACTTTGTCATTTAAAAGTAATGAAGAACAGCAATAAAAATCGATAGTACTAAGAAAAATGGTAAAATAATAAAGAACATTTTAATAGAACATGAACCACATAATTTGGTTTATTGCTTTATTAGGTTTTGGTTTTATATCTAGAGACAATTTTCTTAAAATTTACATTCAATAACAGTTTTACATATGTCACAGGAATGCTTTATAGAGTTCCTAGCTGGTGTAATATACAGTTTTTTCAATATAAGACAATAAATATATATAGATTTTGCAATTCACTTCGCACAGAAAAACATATAATATTCTACTTATCTTCATTTGGAACTTATAAAAATGAACTGAAATTTAAATAACTAAATTTTCTTTCCATTTAGCAAACATATTAATATTTTGAAAGAAACATTGTTTTTAGACATTTAAAAAACATTACCACTGAGAAAAAGCTGTTCAGAGCAATGGTTAGATTACGTGCCATCAAGCCACTTTCATTTCCTAGTGACCACATATTCTCTATGATGATGTATCCCTAATTTGTTTTTTCAAATCTCTTAATGGTGTACTTGTTGCCATTATAACTGAGTCTGTCCATTTTGGTGGTACTCATCCTCGTCTCTTTTCTTCCACTTTTCCCAGCATTAGAAATTTTTTTTGGTGTTCTGGTCTTTGCATAACGTGTCAGAAGAATAATAATCTGAGCCTGGTCAAGAGAGAACTCTGACTTGATTTGATCAATGATCCATTGGTTTATTTTTTTGTTTGCTACTGTATTCTCAGGGATCTTCTTTGGCACCAAAGTTTAGTGGCATCAATATTCTTCCTATCCTACTTCTTTAAAATCCAACTTTCATTTCCATAGAGTGTCACAGGGAATACCTGTGGCTAGCACAATTCAAATCTTTGTAGGTATAGACATATCATGACATTTGAATATCTTTTTCAAGGCCTTCATAGCTACTCTACCAATTTGTTGACAGTTTGTTTCCTTACTGTTGATGGCTGATACTACAAAGCAGAAGTTATCTGCCATTTCAATATCTTCATTGTCAATTCTATTGTTCTGATTGTTCTAAGAAGTAAATCTTTTTTCTCCAAAATCTGGATATTAAACAAAGTAACTTTAAACATTGTAATAAAACAGTAATATCAAAAGTTTATTACTATTATTATTATTATTATTATTATTATTATTATTAGTATTATTATTAGTATTATTATTAGTATTATTAGTATTATTATTAAAAAGGGATTTTAATTATTATTCTATTTTATATTGAGAAAAAATATCAAGAAAAACCATGTCATTTATTCAAAACATTAATATCTAGCTGGATGAAAAATAATAGAATACTACAGAAACATAGTAATGAAGCATGCTTGTAGCTGCCATTCATCCAAAATAACTCGGCTGCAGTTTCGGGACACTTAATAATATCACTATGATTTGTTTTAATTTCTCACAAATCAGTCTGGATATCTCTTCAAATATTTTACTAAAAATATATCCTACTTTTCCTGCATTTTGAAGGTACTGGTTATATGCCAAAGAGGTGTCTACCATTTGCTTTCTCAACATGATGCATGCTACCTAATTAGTACTTCCCAATACTATATATTTGCCTGAAGGTTGTAAGTCATATTACAGATCTCACTTTGGAAGGAGAGGGGGGGGGAGAAAAAGAATTATTGACTCTGGCTGCTGCCAATTTCAATGACGTTCTGAAGGCAGAAATGGATAAATTATAAAGTTATTCCCTTATGTGAAAGACTCATCTGTCACTAACAATACTCACTGGGGCATGAAATTACAATCGCTCTTCTCCCTATTCCAGTCACAGCTTTCTCATTGAGCTAATACACTGATACAGTCTAAAGAAACTGAGTTCTGGAAACAAGAACCCATATTTCCAGGTTAAAACCTTTCTAAGAATCCCAGTTCTAATTAGGATTTTTAGTTAAGTAGAAACTAGGCATATGAAGGCTAAGAGGAAAAAAGCCAAAGAAACTGAAGACATTTTTAGCTCCCAAGTCCTTTTTTTTTTTAAGGAAACATTTTGGAAAAAAACCCTCCAGTCAAATATTTTCTTTAAAAATTAATGGAATAAATCAAGGTGCTCAGACATGTTGTCTACCAACATAAAAGACTTTTTATTTAGAACATTATGGTGCTACAATTCCTGTACAGAGAATAAATAGTGCAATACAACTCTTGGATGTAATAAGATGCCGTTTTCCCCAGAGTCCTCTAATTTCATGAGACAAATAATAAAGGGCTTCATTTGCTAAGTATAAAATACTTAAGTCATCTCAAAAACTTTTTAAAAGTAAATTAAACTAATATGCCTTATTTTCTTGAGAAATATGTATCCAACATTATAATTGTGTGAAAACCAAGATATAATCACTTGTTGCAATGCATGACTTGCATTGAAACAGCAAAGTAAACTTAAATCAATAAAGAAATAAATACTGAATATATTTCAATGTTTCCAAAATACTTGCTTTTTCTTGCCCATCCCCCAAAAGATTTGGAAATGTTATATCTGAATTACAATAGGAATGCAGGTAATCTTCGACTTATACATTATTCTCCTTTTCCTTAGCTAATGCGAATTCAGAAAACAATTTACAGGTAGTCCTTGACTTATAGAAATTCTTACTGACCATTCAAAGATACAATAGCTCTGAAAAAAGTGACTTATGACCGGTTTTCACACTTACAACTGTTAAAGCATCCACATGATCAAAATTCAGCCACTTGACAACCGGCATGCATTTACGAGAGGGTCGTGTGATCCCCATTTATAACCTTCCCAGCTAGCTTCCACCAAGCAAAGTCAATGGGGAGACCTCTCTGACAACACATCTCATGCCACTCTTAAAGATTTTCTATCCTCAAGCTCAGATTCCAGAGCAGGTAAGTCTCATTTCAGCAGCAAAATCAGTTTTGTCCACCTGATGGAAGTGGAACGGTTTCTTAGAGCTGAGTTTAGCCACTGGTGTTTTAGCTCCCTCTTCCTTCTGGTTAATTCAGTCTCCTGACAGGTGACAGGTGACTAGGTCCATCCAACGGTGAATGCTTCTCTACAGGAGGAAATAGCTGCATCTGCCTTGACAGAGATAATTGTCTGCTCTTTCTTAAGACGCTATCACTGGCCATCACCAACAGAACTGAACAATTTTCACCAGTCTTCAAACTTCACTTTTTAAGGCAACTTATTAGTCTATAGCTCCAGAAAGTGTTGGGAGAAGCAGATTCTCTGGAGTCCTTTCAATTAGGATTCAAGTCCAATTGAGATAGCATTGATCACACTGGTTGGTAACTTTTGACAAGCTCAGCATACAGTAGTATAGCCATCCTGATCCGCCTTGATCTCTCATCAGCTTTTGATATCATAAAACATTATATCCTTTTGGACCAACTTAGGGGTCTGATAGGCAGTGTTATGGTGTTTCTCCTCCTTTCTCCAGGGCAGTTCCAAACAGTGTTCATAGGGGAAGAAGAGATTGAGCCTGAGATCCCTGCTTTGTGAGGTACTGTCTCACTACTTCTATTTAACATTACATGAAGCCACTGGGTGAGGTCATTCATCAGCACAGAAATTATTGTATTATTGTATGCTGATAACATCCAGTTGTGCAACTCAGTCCTGGCCCAATGAGGTGATGCTGTCAAGTTTTTTCCCTTTCCTGGTGCCTGGAGGATCTAGAACAGGGCTTTTCAACCAATGGTACGGGTACCACCTGTGGTACATTGGCACCTGGCAGGTGGTACATGACCATCCTAGAAAAGTGTTAGCGGGGGAGGGGAATGAGGTGAACCGATGGCAGCATCGCACAAGCCTGAGCGAGAGATGGCTGGAGCTGCAGGGCTGTCAGGGCTCAGTGGAAGCGCCAGGATCAGCGCTGCTTCGGGGCTGTCAGGGCTCAGTGGAAGTGCCAGGATCAGCGCCAGGCTCCAGCTGGAGCTTGGCACTGATCCTGGTGCTTCTGCTGAGCCCAGAAGAAGCACCAATCAGCTGGAATGTTGCAACATCTCCAGGGTCTTGTGATTTACATTCAGATGCTTGGCAACTGATTCATATTTATGACGGTTAGTGTCCCAGGGTCATGTGAAGTGACCAAAACCTGCTGCAACCACCCAGCAGACCGGGGGAATAAAAACCAAACCCCCCCACCCCACCCCTGCTGCCAATCCTCAATAGAAATGTTCACAACAATGGAAACCTCGGACAGGAGGAAGAGTGCCACTGGGTGGGCAGGCAGGTGTCTTGCTCGGCTGTGGCTTGGGGGGCATTTTTTTCAGTGCCATTGCAACTTCGAACAGTCACTAAGCGAACTGTTGTAAGTCGAGGACTACCTGTATTTTATCACTTTTTTTCCTTTGGGGGGGTCGTCAAGTGTTTGACACCTTTCTAGGCAACTGGTGGTATTCGGATGTTGCCATATCCTAAAAGTGGTACAATGGGTGAAAAGGTTGAAAAGCCCTGATCTAGAAGTTTGGATGCAGAAGAATAGGCTTTGGCTCCACTTTGGCAAGACCAAGATTTTTCCATCTTTAACTCTGCACAGGGAGCCACACTTCCTCAGTCAAAGTTGGTGTGCAATTTGGGGGGAGTCTTCCTAGAGTCACAACTCCTGCTTAAAGAGCAGGTAGCAACCATAGCCCTTTCCACAGGTTCATCTTGAGCACCAACTGTACTTGCTCCTGGACCAGGAAGCCAATTAATCTGGTATATTTATGCACAATTTAATCCCTCAAATTTTATCTCTTGCCTTTCTGACCCAACAGACACTTGGCTTGTCTTTTGACAGTATTCTGTAAGTTGAGAACTGTTGGTTCCAGCCTTATTGAGTTTTAGCCCTTACATCAACAAATTGTGTTTTGGAGGCTTTAGAAAATGCATGAAAGCCAATCACAATTAAAGGTGGTTGATTTGATATGGGATTAATTTCAGAGAGAAATTTCAGCTTTGAATCTTCCACTGAAACCATAAGAACATTAATTTTATTATCACAGAACCTTTGTAGATTACAGTCCATTGGACGCACAACCATGGACTGTGACCCATAAAAGCATCGTACAATAACAAGCATATGCATCTTTAAAAGTGTTTTTCTTTCTTCCCATAAGTTATTAAATTTCAATTCATATGGCTTGATTGTGCCCATTCTCTCATATTTAAACTTATAAAGTATAAAGATGAATTAGGGAGCAAAAGATTTCATGATGATGAATCTGGGATAATGCAGGTAGCCCGTGATTTACAATCATAACTGAGCCCGGAATTATGGTTGTAAGCTGTGGTGGTCATCAAGAGGGTCACCTTGTCCAAGAGTACTGGACTTTAATTTCTATAATTCTAAATTAACAAGCTCCAACATTTCTGAAAGGGTTAAATCATTTGTTGACATACTTACATCCTGAAGCAATTTTTCAAGATTTTCCTGCAGTTCATAAAAGTACCGAGACGTAATGAGTCCTTCACGTGATTTATCCAGGCAGTCTCTGGCCAACTCAATAATTTGATGATGAATAAAGCTTAGGACCCCATCTGCTAATTGCAACACATTTTCAGGTGCACTCGATGCAATAAATTCAGCCAGCCGTTCCTCCATTTGGGCTGTGGCCTAAAAATGGGTCAAATAATTACTGCCGTTTTGCTATAAATGAATCAACATATGAGCTTAATTAAATATATTAAACCTAATTAATGGGCCTTATTGGACTATTTAAGAATTTTGCCTATAGAAAATAAATGAACTTTGTTCTCTATTATCATTGTAAACATTCACATTAAATTTATTGATATTATATTCTATAGTTATAACTTACAGATAAAAAGCATCATTTCAGAAAAGTTTAAACACCATATGTGAGAGAGCTATAATGGGAGTGCATATAATTTTTATTTTTTACAAGCTTCATAGTGGATCTTTCATTTATTTTAGCATCCTATCTTGCTAAGGATGGAAAAGTTTGACTTCAAATTTTAAGCTTAAGAGTTTTTAAAAAGTATGGGATCTAGAATTATAAACATATTTTATCTTTCAAATAGTCTTTAAGAGAGACTTTTATATACCAGATAAAATCCAATTTATATTTTGGCACACATTGATTCTTAACTGGCAACCTTTTGCAAATACATTTTAAACACTAGACAGCTCCAGTCATCTTCTTTGATGAAAATGCTTTCTTATCTTAAATATTTATAACTATTTTGCAAACCCTCAATTTGCTTAAATAACTCCAATGTGGATTTTCATTTTATTAGTATTGCTTTAGCAGTGCCTTAACTTTGTATAAAGAATAGGTCCTTTATATCATATATTTTTTAATTTCATATATTTTTATTATTCCTACTAAATGGATATAAAAAAAACCTCAGACTGCTCAGGGTACCTTCTTACCTTTGGAAATCTTTCTTTGTATACATGGTTCATCATCACAATTTCACTATCAAAGGACACCGGAGAACGACCAGGACTAAAAACCAAAAGATTTGAGGGGTAAAGCATTGTAACATAAGGCAGTATGACTATTTGAGCATACCATCCACTTTAGTGTGATTATATATTTCATAAACCAATTAGCTACATAAATTTTGTATGCATAATTACTACATAATACTTTAGCTTTAATTCAGAAGACATGTTTTGAAATATATGCAGCACTCTTCTTAGACTCATGAAAACAGCCACATCTTCTTCTTTTTTTGGCTCATACAGTTGTTGCTGTTGAAGTTTCTTCATTGAAAGTTACAGTGTACTAATGTGATTAGTCAATTATTTTTTACTTTCCAGCCATGGGGTCAAGAAAACGTAATCAAGGTCACCTAGCCAGCTTGCATGCCTAAAGGATGACCAAAATCTGGGTCTTTCTGCTCCTAGGAAATTGGCTCTCACAAGTAGATAATAAGTTAATACAATTTTGGCAAAAGTAGTTCATGTATAAAATCCATTGTTGCTGAATTTCATTCCTAGGCATTTTAATCAATATGGCGAATTCAGCAATAATTCAGCAATATTTAAATATTTGGTTATTCTCCCTTAGAACAAAAAAAAGTGATTTAGGATCTAATATAAAGATGTTTCCGTTAGACATATTTTAATATTTCCTAGGCCTGGGGATAGTATGTTTGTATAGCCCCAATTGTATATTTTATTGTGTTTTTACTGGTATGATTTTTTTTACTCCAGGCTGCCACATTTGTTACATGTCTTTTTCAAACTGTATTTAATTGTTTATTTGTTTTTGTAAGCCACTCAACCTACTGGAGTGGGTGGCCATAATAAATTTGGTAAAATAAATATTTCTAATCTTTAACCTTTCCCTACCCAATGGTCAGGTCAATTTAAAATAATGTGGATTAAAGGGGTCTATGACAATTTGCCATGGCCAACTCCCCACGGTCAATTTGTCACAGCCAACTTTCTACGGGACAATTCGCCATGGCCACCTCGCCACAGGATAATTCTCTGCGGGACAAAAGTTACACTAATATCAAAGAAATGGTGGAATAGAATCATTAAAGAACAGATGCAAAAGAAGGGACAAAATGAAATATGAATGACAAAAATTAAAATGATTTTTTATTTATTTTAAATAATTGAATTGAATTGTTAAATTGTCCCGCAGCGAACTGGCCATGGCAAATTGGCCCGCAGTGAGTTGGCCACGATGAGGTGGCCCCAGGGAGTTGCCTATAGCAGATTGTCCCATTCCGGGATTAAAAGTGATCTTTGCACTGATTTCAACTTTTATCAAATTTATACTACTAAAAATAATGAATGTAATGAATAATGGCTTTCCAGACATTCCAAGAGACTAATATAGCTAGATATACTGTAGATGCAAGACCTATATTGGTCCATCTAGCCCACTGAGTCTGGCAGCTGTTCTTCAAAAATTTAAACAAGAGTTTTTTTAGTTCTAGTTGTGAATGTCAAGGAATGAATCTGAAATTATATACAAACCATGCAGTCTATCATGTGAATGATGATACTGCAGCAATTAATGGGTGAAACAAAAAGTAATTTTTCTTGCAAGGATACTGCCGAGAATTAAGTAAAAGAATGAAGGGTTTAAGGATTACCTCAGGCTACGAGATCGAGGCCGCATTGCTGGAGAATGCCTTCCTTCCTCGTCAGTGATACTCTCAGTGCTGAAGTGCTTTGTCAGAAAGTGAAGTTCATCAGCTGTTGGTTGATAGGGCAACTGGTGTAGCTTCTCCTGAGATGAGCAAGATGACTAAGAACAAAATGTATGCAAGAGAATACTTAAGGACAGGCAAATATTTTACAAAAAATACATAATGATTTGTTTCTAGGAGAAAAAAATACAAATGTTCATGTATCTTATATTTGTTCTTGAGTAATTCCAGTAATGGAAAAAAGACTTGATCCGTAAGAACAAAATTCAAAGCCATTCCTGAAAAGTAAGGGGGTTTTTTTTGTATGCCACAACAGATCTACGACCAGAAACCAGCAACTTTGATTCTAAATTATTTCAAAACTTTTCATAAAAACACACAAATTATCTGTGAAAAGCAGAAAATCATCTGCCTACTACTGTAGAAATAATTTATTCAGAAACTCTCTATGGAGTATTATTGCTACACTTGTAATAAATTCCATAAAAGGAAGGTTAAGGATACTGTACATGATGGTAATCTGGAATCAAAGAAAATTCCTTTTATAATAAAAAAGTTAGGAATTATTAAATGAAATTATAAATATGAGAAACGTTTTAGGATTTCTTGACTTGCCATGAGAGCCAGTGTAGCGTGTACTTTCATTCTCTGTATCTTATATAAATTTTCAGTATTTAACTAGTTCAATTAACATATTGAACTAGGATTATGATGAAAAGGTCAAGTGCTTTTTGTTAATATATTTTAAATGAATAATATAACAGAATGAGTGAGACTTCATTATGAAGGAAATACAGAATATATTTTTATCTGGAATCTGAATCAGTTGTGAAATTCCCTTCAAAAGTGTTTTGAGAAGTTAAATAATACATTTCTGACAGAATATGAAAAAAAAGAAATATTTATCTAAAACATCTCAAATTCCATTAGCTATCAGGAGGAAAAGAACCTGGAATCATTCATTAATCAACACAGTGAGCGTGAACTTACTGAAACAGTTGAACTTGGAGTGTTGGTTCCATATCCAGATGAAGGGAGGGAGGCCAAAGACCAACGCCGCCCATCTGTCCTAGAAAAAGATACAAACAATATTATTTTAAAATGTTATTAAAAACATATAAATTTAAATAATATACATTACCTATTTAATTAATTCATATGCAGGAGTTAGGGGATAATGTAATTTATACTACTTAAGTTTCAAATGCCATCAGAGTGTAGTTAAAAATCCAATTTGCCACTTGCAAATTGTTGCTGACCCAGAGAATAAATACAGCAGAACAATGTGGCAGATATCTACACAAAATATACTAAGGGTGTCAACAACCATGTGTCTTCTAAACAAATGTTTTCTAAGGTTTTTGCTGTGTTAATCTTTTTTCTCTTAGGTATTTCAAAAGAAAGTCCAATTAACTAAGTCAGGAGCAAACTTTCCATCCAATCTACTATATACAGAAACACAACTTACAGTTCAAGTCCATTTTTCTTTTAAATTTAGGGGAGAAAAACGTAACATTTAACTTATGCCTTCATGCTTCATGCACAAAATCACAAATATTTAAGATGTTGTTACAAAATCCATGCTACAGTTAAAAACCCCAAATAGGCACTGTGTGTTACATTTTATATGCAAAAATCCAGATTCCTGAATAAAACATCTATAGTCTGATCAAGCAGAAATCTTCTTGTGCTCTTATGGTCTACAAGGTATTTTTAAAGGATATGTATTGTAAATAATTTTTCAATATTTTAAAAAATGTTGAAAAGAGATACTGCAGGGAGATCCATTTTCTCTAAATAATTATATTTATAAATATACAAACATGGTGCAAAATATTAACTATTACTTGGCATAATTATGTTTAAAAATCACAATTCAAAAATTCAGGGCCCTTTCAAAGCAAACATCATTCAGAGAAATATATAAAGCAACTAAAAAGGAATATGTTTCACCTGTAGTTTTCATATGGAAAAACTACTTCTGTTTAGTGGATCAACTTATCACCTAGCCAATATACATAACCATAAGGAGTACTGTTTCTTTGAAAGGAGCAGTTCCAAGGCAGAAAATTTTCAAGCAGTGTTCACTTAGCAATTGCAGAAATACAGTAGAATGCTTATTAACAATAATTATTAGATTAGTAACTTTTACTTTCAGGTGCAAAAATCCTTAGTCACTAACTTCTCCTAAAAATTTTACTGATAGTAAACCTTTCACTTGCGGTAAAACAGAATAGCAACTCGCTGCTCCAATACGACTGTTTTCATGATACTGATTTGTTTGAGGCTACATTTTACAGTTGATTTAAATTTAAATTAATATAATACAGCTCCCAGAATTATTCCTAAGTATTTTAATTCTGGATTTACTTCTGAATTGAATAGAGTTTTATTTCTCTTTTAAGTGGATATGTCTAGAGATGTGTAATATAACATTTAGAAGAACAGCAATATTTTGTTTTCAATAGAAGTCATAAATTTTTAAAAAACAACAGATGTCACTCATTCTAATTGGTCAAAAGAGGTGTTGCTGACATGCCTAAATGGGTTATGAAAGCATGAGTTCGCTGAGACTGCAGCATGCAAAAGCTTTCCATTCATACTGCATACAACTTACATCAGCTGTACCATTTACCTGTCTGCCCTGTGTCCATGGCTATGTAAAAGAAACAGTACCAGCAATAAAAATGGGAACAAAATACAGAGCATTTGCAAACATTTATCAAATAGTTATTTTTAGCCCTTTAAACATCCTAAACAATTCTATGGATGAACTTGCAGTGTAAGAAAAAGAAACATATTATTTAATGACAGATTTATAATCAGATTTGTACACCATCAGATTTATACTGACACTGAAATAATTCCACCACTCAGCTTTGAGAATTATTCATCTTCACCTTGCGTAAATAAGCAGAGCCCAGCTTTCACATTATTACCACATTCAGGTATGCTCACAAAATACTAAACTTGAGATTTATTGCTAAGTAATATTTTCTTAGCAAAACAAATGGTAGTAGCCTGACATCCTAACAATATTGATGGGATTTTTAAAACTGCTAGTGAGATAAACAAAGGTATAAAATGGCTATAACATCCCATCATAATTTAATAGTGGCAACTATGAAAAAAATCATTATATTTGAAGACCCCAATATTTCATCTCCCAAACCTATAAGTCCATAGACACTACCCTTTGTTTGCATCTGGCTCCCTGCTCCATCTGACTTTTTAAAATATTGTTTTAATCAAAACGAAAATGGAAAGCTGGTATGGTGCAACTGAAAGTATCATCTTTATTTTCAAGGATATAGCTAGGCTGAAAATGATCCCCAAAACTTCTTTGGGAGAAAAAAGATGGGGAATAGTGTTTTCACTGACAGTACAGCCGAGGTCCGGAGAGGGTGCAAAGGAAGTGCAGCCAGGTTTGGGGAGTGTGCAAGGGAGGCATGGTGAAGATTTTGGAGGGTGTGCAAGGATGTGCGAGTGGCTGGCAAGGGAGAAGCGTGAGACTTATCCCAGTGACTTATGACTCATGTTTTTCCCTACTGGCTTCCAAGTGACTTTCTGGGGAAGCTGGCAGGGGAATTTGCAAATGGCTATCACACAATTGTGGGGCACTGCAATTGGTCATAAGTACGAGCCAGTTGATTTGAACCCAGACTCCAAGGTCAAATCATACCCACCATTCATTCAGTGCCATCATAACTTCAAATGGCCACTGAACTGCTATGTGTTTTAACTTTGCATTTTTGACTGGACTTGTTTTCAATTTATTTTAAGATTGTTTGCTACCCAGAGTCACGTTTAGAGATGGGCAGCCATAGAAATTTAATAAATAAATAAATATTGCAATGTATTTGTTTCTGAATGTATTTCAAAATAACAAAAGTCCAAAACTTGCTACTGCCTCAATAAAGAACATAGAAGCAGAGTTTATCTGAGGGGGGAAACTTACTGACACACTTGACTTCCTTTTAAAAGGAGCCATCGTGGCCCAAGTTGTGAATATCTGATTAAAGGCAAACTGATTTTTTTTTAAATCCTCAATAAATTGGAGAATGAGAATGAACAAATCTCAAGATTAGAAAAGATTAGCCAAACTCAACCAGCACAACTATCTTGAACAATATTCTTCAATACTGATTTAATGGCAAGTCAAAAGGACTGAGATAAATAATGGTAAATACATCAAGTTTGCAATATTCTAATTCTACCAAAATTCAAGTCCGATCTGAATTCTGAATCTAAAATGTTCTGATATCTGTACACGCGCTGGAATCCTATATCCGACATATACATTAAAGATGATATTTTAAAACAAACTATTTTTAAAACAATGGTAGAAAGTTAATGAATCAGTGATCTCTCTCTCTCTCTCTCTCTCTCACACACACACACACACACACACACACACTAATGGAAAAAAAATCACTCATACATACCTACGGGCAGGAACAAAGGAAAAGTGAGATGGTGCATTTGGAGAAAAATTTCGGGGACTATCCAATGGACTTCCACCTGCTTAAAAACATACAAAAATGGTATTTGAACCACGCTTACAACTATTTCTATATTATAGTTAATGTGAATCTAACATACAAAGTTTTCAGACTTATGGTTTTTATTATTATTAATCACTGTGTTCCATCCTATTTCCTCTAACTTTTTCTGGTGAGAAATAAGCCAGAATAAATGATTAAAAACAAAATAATGAGGAACACAAATGGAAAATGTCATGGTTTAGAAGTCCTATGAATTACATGACTTAATCAAGATCTAATCTATGTGACCTATGCTAGGTCAATCTGGAAATACTCTATTATATAAGTATATGGTATTGCCTATGAAGTTACAAATAATGTTTCATATGCATTAATTTGTATCTAAAAGGAACAGAACATTAATTCCTTCTATACCTGCACAATATTATTTGAAATGTGAACATTACTATGCAGCTTTGTAATACATCAGCTTTAAATTAAACATCTGCATAATGTAAAAATATAAGCCACACTGGAGCAGAGCAAAAATATAATCAGCCTAACCTTCTGCTCCTATAGATATCAACCAAATATGTCTTTCAATTCTATGTATCTTTCCTTACTGAGATTTCCCTAGTAATCTAGTCCAGAAAAAAATATTTAAAAGTAAACAATAATGTCCCACACTTCTTTTCCGATTCTTGACAGAAACCCAGCAGAAGATAAGACATCCAGGATTGAATACATCTTCCTCACCAAAAAGTTTAAACCGGAAGCCAAGAGAACAAAAGGCTATTTCACAGAAATAGAACGATGAGTGTGCCTTATTTCCTTCTGTGGGCCTGTGCTTCTAAGTGAATCCCTCATGTATTTTGCTCCTTGCCTTCTAACAATTTCTATGTGTGTATGCCTTTAATCCCCACTCTCTATCCTAGGGCTATCACATATGGCCTGAAAAAATCCAGATGGCAACTAGACAGCAAGAAAGAATTTTCTATATTACCTGTGCCAGCTTGTTACTAGAATAGAATAGAATAGAATAGAATAGAATAGAATAGAATAGAATAGAATAGAATAGAATAGAATCTGGAAGGGGGCTTGGCAGGAGAACCTATACCATTTCAGACAAGTTTCTAGTCTCTTCTTAAAAACCTCCAGTGATGGAGCAACCACGATTTCTGAAGGCAAGATGTTCCACTGGTAAATTGTTCTCACTGTCAGGAAGTTTCTCCTTAATTCCAGGTTGCTTCTCTCTTTGGTTTCCAACCATTGTTTCTTGAGTTTAGCCTTGTCCTAATATCATAGCTTTATTCTATCTCTTCTCTGGGTATCCATGGTTGAGTCCTCTATTCACAGAACCTAGATCCTTTCCCCATATTATTCTTGCTCCAAATTCCTTATGTATAACATACGGTACATACAATATTTGTTTATGAAATAACCTGTAATAGAAGAATTGTATTTTAAGCAGTACTCATTTTCTAATAAATCTAGTGCTAACATATGTATCACACAAATTGGTAGACAGGTGCTACGTTGTGACAGGTGAGAAGTATCTTTTTAATGACTTCAACTTTTAATTGTA